ATACTTACACAAATGGTACATATTTTCAAATGTGAATATTTATTTACATTTGCATAATGGCAAATCACATCCTTCTTTATGCGACAATCGAACTAAAGACGTACCATCTTGTTTCATGTATCGTGGTAGCTCATTATCCTTTGTCAGTAAGGAGGGCTTAACGTCAGTCCGGTCTACAAACAAAACTTAGAAAGAAAGACGAGAAAAAAACATTTTAAATGGCAAATCCAATGATGTGAATAAGACATGAAGTTCGATCCGATTAATCTATATGTAAAATAGTAGTTGATGCAAACGAGACAATGCTTGAAGCACACCGGTTCTCTACAATGAGCGATAAATGGCGTGCATGGTGCTGCTAATTTAAGGGCTCTATATGGCGTAGCTTTCACTTATATATCATTAATTGTATTCATTAAATGATAGAAAAAAATACTACTTATATGACCATACCAAACGTTGGTGGACATTTCAGCCTTAAAGTGCTCCAAAACGGTACGCCTACCACTCAAATTCATCGAAAACGCACCTAGGTATCTGCTACAACATCAGATAAGCCAGTGCTGACAAACAAAAGAGTAAACCTGAAAGAGAAAACTCCAAGCTCGTGTAGAGCAGCCAATGGTCCCCTTATTTTCGACAATCAATCACACACAGGAAAGACGTTATTTGCGTTAGGTTGAACCATTACCAGCACTTGCTACTTTAAGTGCAAATGGTAAAGCAAGCACGCCTGAGATGCCTAAATAAGGTAAAACGTATACCTTAAGTAAACAAAAAGGCTGAGGTAACTATGGAGTCGTAATTTATCTTTATTGTGTTGTTCTTGTTGCACACAATAAAGATATAATTTGACTGATGATGATAAAGAAAAAACCACTTCATGGGTATTTCTTTATATCTTTACGCCTTGTCGGGCTCATTTGTTGGGCCTGTTAGTATTGCTAATTACCTTTTCATTGCATTAGCAAATACGTATTACAAATTATAGAAATAGAAGTAAAAACAGAGCATTCCAATATCCGAATGCTCCATTTTAACTACCTCTTCCCAAAAATATATCTCTAATGAAAGCATATATTTTCTCCCTCATCCAAACTGAGTACATTACACTGAAGAACAACTTTCACTCGCGGCAACGATTCATAGAACCACAAAATCCAACATCACCTGCTGTTCTGAAGGCTCCTGACGGTAAACTGGCGTCACCTTTAACACCTCTGTAGTTAGCATAGACTCTAAAATGATACCCAGAGTCCTCTTCGAGGCCAACAACCTCAGCAACTGTGCCTGTCACTGTGCAATGATTCTGCCAAATAGTCTGTTTACAAGTTGCATTCATCCACGCTGTTTCTTCTTCAGGTCTTATATTTACGGTATATGTAGCAGATTGAAGATTAATTGCTGACCACCTTATAGTTATCGTGTCAACGGTGTTGTTTACAAATTCTGGAAAACCAGGAGAATCTACAAAAAGATATAAACGGAATTTAAAAAAAAAAAACCAAACAAACAAACAAAAAAAGATATAATCAATGCACTTATAGGTAAAGCTATTCAGGAACCAAAATCCTGTAAAGCTTAACATAAATTATTTATTCACAACAGACCTAAAGAACCGCGAGACTGTGATAGCAGTTCTTCGCAAAATTACTTTAATCGTTCACAAGCTACAGAATAACAGAACCGTCGGAACAGTCATTTCATCACACATAATTTCATCGCCTATTCCCTACAGAACCGTGGAAAGGCGGGGACATTCATTCCTTCACACTTCATTTTTTTTAGCCTCAATGATCAGTTTGCGGACTTCGGGAGCAATATTTCCTTGAGAGGTAATACCAATTTAGTTAAAAAAAAACTCTCAAGCTGAGGCTACGGAACTGCACAATCTACGGATTCCTCAATTTTCACACTCACTGCTAAAGCGCGGTGAACGCTAAGATTAATGCTCCGTAAACCGGCCGAGTATTCCCAAAAAGAAAAAAAGGTCTCAGTTGATCCACCTATTCTTTATTTTCTTTGAAGACAATTTTTCGGCAATCTAATCTACGAAGTCAATTTTTAGATTTTCCTACGAACGAAAGCACATGCTCGCTACTTTTTTGAATAGACATATGATCCCAGAAAGGACATCTACTTAAAGTTTTGCAGGATTTCCACCAGGATATTCAGTAGCACCCTAGACGTGATTTTCTGCTTAACTCAAGGACATCGATTTTATTCTGATTATTTCAAAGTTTATAGTGTCATTCACAGATATAGCACTTCTCAGTCAAGTATTGTGCTAACACTTGAAAGGTCCTTCTCAGTTATCCGTTCTACATTTAGTCGGTTCTACTGATTCAAACTGATTTAGATGACAATTTTAGACCAAAGGATCCAGTGATAAAAGTCAGTTTAGAGGATATCTATTTACCGAGAACAGTTACTTTGACTGTGGCACTGTCTCCTGAGCCCACTTCATTTACAGGGATACAAGTGTATATTCCAGCTTTCCTCACAGTAACGCTAAACATCCCAGAGCTGCTGGTGGCGACGCGGTTACTATCGAATATCAACTGAAACACATGAACCGCAGGGTTAGCCTCTGAGGTGCAGTTAAGGAACAAACTACCTCCAGCTAAAACGACAGTATCATTCCCGTCAGATGTCATTCGTGTACCAGTCGGCAAGTCTGCAAGATACACATAGTTCGTTATTCTCGCGGTCAGCCTCAGGGCCTGATTGGGGAAACAATTGAATGTTATATCACTCCCACGAAAGAAACAACTTCTTACAAAAAGGTCATAAAACTCTATTGTCATCATTGTATTATTTTACTTTCCGCATGTTACTCAGCTGACACATGCTGTGCAAACTCTAGAGCTAATTGACTTACAAAATACATCCAAGTAACATGTACTGATCGAGCTATTGCCAATTCCATTCCATGCATGGCACTGATAAATCCCCGTATGGCTGCGATGTACATCCACCAGAACAAGACGATCATTACTGCCAAGAACAATTCCTGTATCTTGCCATATCCATGTGATGTTTGGAGAAGGGTTACCAGTAGCATTACACTGAAGATTTACACTTCTGCCTTCAGTTACTGAGCTTGGACAATGTAAGGCTTGAACTTGAGCTTCGACTGCAAAAGGAAAAAAAGATTGAGTTAACTTAAAAAATTTTGAATATCTGACAAGTAGAACAAATTTCCTTTCCTAGTTTGTGCTTGTACACTAGCATCGTGATCAAGAGTGATATTGAGTCAAGAAACTCGGCCCAAACCCAAAATATCACATTTAAAACACGTTTGAGGACATTTGATATTTAGGGAATGTGATTTTGCCTAATATCCAGCATCGAAAGTGGTTAGGTGATCATCGTTAAAAACAAGTCATTAATAAAGGAATATATACGCCATTCGTTGTTATTTTCCTTCGAGATAGTATCTTTGCTATTAACGACGTCCTGTGGTTCAGCTGCACTACAACAGGAAAAAAGGCCATAATTTTGCCAACTGCTAAAGGCTTTTATTCCTTTTATTTAGGAGAGCAGAGGTTTAGAAGACCGATTTCCCATTTGAGTGCGAGAGGTTCAAAGAAAGTTGGGTATCACACGCAAGTCGTCGCAAATAGGCGTGGGTTTTTAAAGTCTTCGATCGGTGGCGAGGTAAAAGAAACGAGGCAGTACTAAAAGAGAATTATAGTGGCGAACCGTTAATAAACGAGTTTCTTAATGAAATGTCAGAGTAGCAGCTGGATTTTGTCTTGGCATGATTATTTCCGAAGTCAAAAGAGAAGACGGGTAAGAGTATCCAGGAAGACTTTATTTGAAATGATAGGTGGCGTTCAAACATTTTTACGTGTGCAATGTAAGCGAAATATATAACTTTGATTGACAAGACAGGTTTTAGATTTAGAAGTTTAAATTCTGCATTTAATTTTCAGTGAAAGAGAAAGCTGCCCAAGGATTAGGTTTGATTGTAAATCAGGCAAAATTTACAACTGAAGAACAGGAAAACTTTTCGTGGAAAAAAGTTTTTTTTAGGTAACGAGAACGTGTTTGGGTTTTTGGCATTCAGTTTGCTTTGAGGGCTGGGCAGGAACACCGAAATTTGAGGTTTAAAAATTCTCAGTTATCTTTAGAACATGATGATTCGGGGTGTAAATTCTTGCAGTATGTGGAAGATATTAGTAAAATCAACAATGGGGGTTTGTACCATTTGCGTGTCAAAAAGAAAGTTGTTGGTGGATACAAAAATTTAACTAATGCAGAACGTTGCCCAGTCGATCTGCACAAGAAGTATTTGTCTCACTTGCCTAAAGAAATTAGTGATAACGCATTTTATTTGAGTGCTTTTGCCAAACCGAGAGGAGAAGTGTGGTATCATAATAAACCAATGGGAAGAGAGACGTTAGGATATGAACTAAAGAAAATCATGACAAAGCCAGGATTTGAGGGGCATCTCACAAACCATTCTCTCAGGTGAAGTTCCGCCACGCGGTTGTACTAAAACGGTGTAACAGAACAAATTATTGTAGAAACCACTGGTCAACGGTCATTTGATGGGGTAAGAGAGTATAAATGTACATCGTCAACACTTAAACGAAAAGCAAGGGAAATCTTGCAGGGAAGGTTCCCTAGTAAAGTTGAAAAGGATGCCGCGGGAAAAGAGAGAGAGAGTAGTTTGGAAATCATGTTAAACACAAGGAAGAAAAAGAAATGGGATTAAACGCAAAAGTTTTTGAGTAAAAGATCAATGAAGATAACTTTAATCGGTTAGTTGAAATTAGAACTAACACTACTAAAATTGTTATTTCATATACGTAAGAAAATTTGCTGCTGCAAGATGTTCAATTATAATAAATACTGCAATAAAACGATAAAATCGAAAACGTTCTCGACTGCGATATTAAAAATATTGCTGCATGTAGGGTGCACTATTATTAATATCGCAGCGCAGTTAGCCTACTGTAATATCGAGTTTTTTAGCTACTCCTGATAATTTCCCTGCCAAAAAAAAGGACCGACCCTATTTTTCCTTTGAAACTTGGACCGTACTGGAAACCTAATTACCTTCTTAGACTGACATCGTTTATATAATGCAGAGGGAGCACAATAGGATTTTACGGGGGTCAGTAAATATTTGTAGCAGTTCTACACATGGCCACACAGTTTCTGTCCAGTGTAATGAAACAGGACAAATTTGACTTAAAATATTTGTTACTCACAAAACACGTCCAGGCTGCATGTTTTGGTGGAACTGTTACCAATTCCATTCCTCGCCAGGCATTGATAATTGCCTGTTTGGCTTCGATTGACAGCTGAAAAAGTGAGCTCCTCATTGCTACCAAGCACATCTCCTGTGTCTTCCCATATCCAAGTAATGTTCGGAGGAGGATTAGCAGTGGCATTACAATTAAGAGTTAAGTCACTTCCCTCCACTTTTGAGCTTGGACATTGCATGTTTAGAATCTGGGGCTTGACTAGGGAGAAAAGAAAAAAGATAAGTTAAAAATACATTTAGCAAATTTTTGTAATGGAGTGAGGGCCTTGTACTCAATACTTATTGGCTTGCCAAAACAAAGAGTTAAGTAAGTAGTGGAAAATTTCTCCTCTCTAGAAGAGCAATTTAAGTAACTCTCGTTATGTTTAAGATAACTTTTTAAGTAAATGAGCCAATGAGGACACGTGGTACGAAAATCGGAATTTAGCCGAAAATTTTGCCCAAACTCACTGAGAGATGGTATGGCTAGCGTAGCTGGTGGGATCTTTTAACGCATGAAAACACGATTTCTTGTTGTTTTAAGATTTACGCTACTGCCCTCAGTTACTGAGCTTGGACAATGTAAGGCTTGAACTTGAGCTTCGACTGAAAAAAAAAGGTTGAGTTGACCTAAAACTTTTGAATAACTGTCAAACATGATAAAATTCCTTTTCCGCGCGATACGGAGGTAGAAACTCAGTCCAACCATCAAATATCACCTTTAAAACAAGTTTGAATATATTTGACATTTAGGGAATGTGGTGTCGCTTTATAATCAGCATCAAAAGTAGTTTTGTGATCATCGTCATAAACAAGTCATCATAAAAATAGTATACACGCCATTCATTATTATTTTCCTTCGAAAACGGATCTTTAACGACGTTCTGTGGTACAGCTGCACTGCAACAGAAAAACTTACTTGTTTTTCACCTTACCCCACGTGGTATATTGGTGTTCATCAAAGAGTAAAATTATCATTGACATGATGGTTAACCACTTTTGGTCAATACTTAATAAACAAAAGAGGGGATATAGGAGATAGGGGCTTTTGTCTTAAAACTAACTTGTGAAAAATACTCAGCTCGTAATGAAAAGAAAATTCGCCGGAATATAAATACATGTATGCTAACATCCGTTGAGTAATGCTCACTTGAACATACACAAAACAAAATTGAGAACATCCGGCCCAGCTTTCAGCGAAATAAAGATTTTAAAAGGCCGCAGTAATTAAAAGAAAAACGTTACTTTCAGACCATCAAACGACAGTTTCTTTAAGCAAGGAAAAGAGATAGACTTTTTGCTCACAATACACATCTAGGCTGCATGTCCTGGTGGAATTACTTCCGATTCCATTCCATGCACGACACAGATAAGCCCCTGTTTGACCTCGATCAACATCAGTAAGAGTGAGCTTTTCACTTCTACTGAGAACAGATCCTGTGTATTGCCAAAGCCACATGATATTTGGCGCTGGATTTCCAGTAGCATTACAGTGAAGAGTTACGTTACTTCCCTCAACTATCTTGGTTGGACAATGCATGTCCAATATCTGTGGATGAACTGGAAAAGAAAATTTTTAATACACATGAGTAAGATAGGAATCTTTCTCACAAAAAAAGATATACTTTTCGTTTTGTTGTGTTTTACCATATTGGTCTCGCTCTAGCGGGAACTAACCCTTGCAAGATGTTACGTCTATGATAAAATCCAGTCCATGTTCAAAGTTTTCTTAAGATACAAAACTTAAACGACAGAATTAATTAAGTGTGGTTCTCTTTCTCACAAGTTCAGTGTATACAGTTATTTCTGGTATTCCCAGATCCCACGCAGAGTATTTAGTTGATTCCGTCAACCCAGTTCCCAAGGACATTTGGCACATTCTGCTAGTGCCTTCGTCGCAAATGAATTCATCTGGATATCACCCAATTAAGGGGCGAACTCGACTTGATGGGGTCGAACTCGAAAAGTGTGGGGGCAACACGGCATAAGGTAGGGGCGAACTCGATAGGGGGCGAACGCGGTGCAATTCATCATAACAACAAAATTCGTAATAACCTGAAGAAAAATGAGGCATTTATGGAAGCTTTCCAAATTGTGTTGATATGTACTTAAGAATAAACTAAACATTCAAGAATAAACTATTATATGGAAAGTTTTTACATTCAAATATCTGTATATACTAAACAAGGAATAGCGTTGAAAGTGAGCTCTGATTGGCTACTCAAACTCCGATTATCCTTTGCTACTCACCTATATGAGCAATGCGTCGGGATTTGGGCTCGAAAATATTGTAATCGTTGCAGGAATGAATAAGTTTAAATGAATGTAATAAACTTACTATCCCACTCTTAATTATATACTTAAACAATTTTTCACCTCAATGTTGGTGGCTAGAGGAGAATATTTACCCTGGTAAATTTCCACCACTTGACACCTCCACTTCGGTGAATTATTGTTAATTGTGCGCTTGTGTCAATAAAGTAAATTCCTCAGTATCCCTAGGGCTTATAAACTACTTTCCTTATTAACAACAATGAATTGCTTACGATAAAAATCCAGACTGCATGTTCTGATGGAGCTGTTGCCAATTCCATTCCACGCCGTGCACAGATAAGTGCCTGCCTCTTTGCGATTTACCGCTGCAAGAGTCAGCTTTCCTTTGGTCCCCAGAACATCTCCTGTGTCTTTCCATATCCAGGTAATATTTGGGGGAGGATTTCCAATTGCATGGCAATGAAGAGCTACGTCGTATCCCTCGAAGAGTAATCTTGGACACTCTAAGTTTAGAACCAGAGGTTCGTCTAAAAGAAACAAACAGAAGACAATGTTGCCTTCGATTGTTTTCTCTTTTATTTTAGTTGTCAATTACGAACGGAACAGGCAGAAAGTCTGACCCCCACCTATACAAAATCATTGTATTTTACAAGTTAACACTTCACTTTCATAGGAAAGTTTAGCTCACAGTGGGAGATCTAAGTTCTACTCTCGAATTTTAAACCCTGTAAGACTCTATGCATCGTTTGTCCTATTATTTATCAAACGGCTCTAAACAAGTTTTCCTGGTTGGTTTTTATTATAAATTCGATGCTTTCTATAATAATGTAGATGATAATGGAGTGCTGAAAAAGTCGTTTAATATGTTTCTTTAAATGGACACACAAGAAATGAGATCCTACACGATGATTGCGTTTGCGAATTCAAGGGGTCTGAGATCCCACCATTTTATCCACAAATTTCAAAGTTCGGTGAAGTTTCAATTCACTTGCAGATGGCGGTCCACGAGGGCCAGATCACTTCCCCCCTCCCCCCTGTGGGTTTTTCCACCACCGCCTGTCCGACACCAAATTCTCGCATCTACAGGAATGAATATTACATCTAATGTAGTCCTTGTAGTGTAGTAAAGCCACAAACGCTTGAAAGTATACGCTTTATTCGGAGCACACGAAGTACATCATTTCTCACTTTCCCGTTCTCGCACACATTTTCAGTTCCCGGATATGTTTGCGAATTACCGCTGTCCTGATACACTTCATCCCTCTCTTTCTTCGCTTAAATGCTTACTTTACAATAACATAGAACTTAAACAAACGAATAGTTCTGTAAAACATGCCTTTCAAGTTCATTTAAAATACGAATGTTCAGAAACAGAAATGTCATTCTAACATCACAACAATAAATGTGACATTTCTCAGATTTTGCTTCAATATATCGCTGTATTGGAGATTGTTCAATATACAACATAATCGTTCAGTAATTTCGGACGTCTAGTAATCCTGCCTGATCTCCACAAAGGCTACTTAGCTACAGATACTGCAGTAGGTACAATCTCTGGTGGCGATTCTGCCATTGGTACAGGATTCTCTTTCACAGGCGTTAACTCGGTTGTCATACAGTTAGTCGGGAAATCAGCATCTTGTAGAGAAGTTCCTTGGTCTTCTTGGACTAGCCTGTGAAATGGTTTGATGTGCTAAAGGTTTCACTTGTACTGAACTCCCTGTGGTGAGCACAGTACCACTTAGTCCTCGAAATGAGACGGCACTTCATAGGGTTCCTTCTCATACGAAGGTGACAGTTTATTTTCTTTCTTCTCTAACAAAACAGTGTCTCCTTCCTTTACCTCACAGTCTCGTGCATAAAACCTCCTACTAAGATAGTCTTTGTTAGACTGCTTTCTTTGGGTGTCTCGATCACGGACTCCCCGATCACTTAATTCCACTTCCTCATCTTCCACATCATCGAGCTCAGGCATTTTAGTGTTAATCTTCATTTTAAATAGCAACTCCGCAGGACTCTTTCAAGTAGTCAAATGCGGCGTTGACCGGTACGCAAAAAGGAACTTGTTTATCTCTTCTCTACAATCCTTTCCTTCGGCGTGAAATGCTCTAACCGATTTTAACAGCGATATGTTTTGACTTTCCACTTCTCCATTGGCACGTGACTAAAGAGGTGTCGTGTAACAGTGTTCAATCCACATTTCTTTCAGGTACTCTTCTACTTCCTAGGAGACTACGCAGACGGTACGCAGACCTCTAGGTAATCCGTACCTTGCGAACTGGGCGTCCAGGCAACGAACAATGGTCTTGCCGGAGGTTGTTTGGATGACATCAACTTCCATCCAACGGCTATGGTAATCAACGAGCACTAACAAGTGTTCTCCTGACGGTAATGCACCCATCAGATCCACAGCTAATTCTTCCCATGGTTGTTTGGGTAGCATCGTTGGCTTCACTGGCGGAGGTGGAACTTCCTTTGTAACAAGCTGGCATCCAAAACACCCTGAGCATCTTCTGTCTGCATCACGGTCCATTCCAGGTCACCAGACTTTCGTTCTAAGCCTTCCCTTTGTCTTTACAACTTCTTGGTGCCTCTCATGAGTTAGACTCACAACTCTCATGCGAAGAGCTTGGGGTACAAATATTCTTGTTCCTACCAGAATCACATGACCGATGAAGGTCAATTCATTGAGTACAGGCAAGTATGGCTTCGAAGCGTTGTCCCACTTTCCTTCAATGAGGCAATTTCTGACAGCTTGCAACTCTTGATCTTGCGCTGAGATCCGTTAAATCTCTTTGATTCTCAGTGCAGCAGGGACAGCATGCGGAGCTACGATACGCAGCTACTATACGCACATATCCATCATCACGAACGGACTGATCTGAAGCAGGTATCTTTGTCCATCGAGAAAGGGCGTCCGCTATATTCTTCCTTGAAGGCACATAACAAACTTGATGGTTGTGGGGTTGAAGACGCAGAACCCAACATTCTATTCTGGCAGAATGTATCGACTTGCTTGAATAATGACTTTGAGTGCTTCATGGTCTCTTACAAGATCAAACTGTGGGAGCCCATACAAGTAGAGATGGAAGCTTTCACACGCCCAGACCAAAGGTAGTACCTCTTTCTCAGTTTCGCTGTAATGGCGCTCCACTTGACTTAGACTGCGACTGACGTAACAGACAGAACGACTCTCTCCATTTTTCTCTGCACCAACACTGCTTCCAGCCCCACCGGACTGGCGTCAGCAACAACTCGCGTAGACGCGTGCTTATCATCAAAGCTAAAATTGGTGCACGAGCCACTTACCTCTTCAATTTCTGAAATGATTCCTCTTGATCCTAACCCCATGTAAACGGTTCTCCTTGCCTCGCAAGTCTCCTATGAGGATCGACAGTGGCGGCAAAATCAGGGATGAACTTGGCATTGAATCCCACAAGCCTCAAGAAACTACGAACTTCGGAAGGTGTTTGTGGCTTACTTGCTTCTACAATGGCTCTGACTTTTTCCTCTGTCGGCTCAGTTCCATGCTTGCTAAGCAAAAGACCCATTAACACCACTTTGTACACCTGGAATGTGCACTTATCAGCATTCAAAGTCAGCTGCCTCTAGCTAGGCTGCTCCAACACACGATGTTAGTTCTCGTCATGTTTCTCTGTGCCTCGACCATGGACGATAAGATCATCTACTACATTAGCCACACCTGGGTGATGATGTGCTGATACTTTTCTGGTTCAGCATTTACACCAAAGCTTAAACGTTTGTACCGAAATATTATGGCATGGGTGGCAAAGGCAGTGACATCCCTTGACTCAGCATCCAACGCGATCTGATCAAACCGCCATCTTAAATTCAATTTTGAGAATTCAGCATTTCCATTAAGAATCTTGAACACTTCTGTGATTAGTAAGGGTAACCTCTGACAGATAATGGCTTCGTTAGCCCTTCGCATATCAACACATAACCTTATGTCTCCTGACGCTTTCGGGACAATAACAACGGGGCTAACCCATGTCCTAAGCCCGTCAACCCTTTCAATGATGTCTTTTTCAAGGAGTTCATTCACCTTGGTGGTTACTCTGTCTTTTAGTGAAAAGGGCACTCGTCGCATCTTTTGAACCACTTGGGTTACGCTTGAATCAGTATGATACGTGGTTTCCCGATTCCCGATTCCCTAAAACAAAACACAGGGATATTTTGCCTTGAGTCCTCCGACGAAAGTGTCATCGGCAGTGTTACAGTTCACTGTATTTAAAGTCTCTCCTGGACCCACACGAAGGATTCCAAGGTCTGTGGCGGTTTCGTATCCTAACAGATAACGCCCTGTTTGGACCATAATAAAAAAACAGAAACTTCTGACTGAAACTGACCTTCAACTTCAAGCTCTCGATCCCCATAAGCATACAACTTCTTTATGCAAGGTTGTAGCGCAATCTTTAGCCCCTAATACTTTAGTTCCTGCGAAGTATCCGTGCTAATTAGGTTGCTTGCAGAATCTGAATCAAATATGTCTCTGCTGACTCCATCAATGCTCACAGAGATAACTGGCTTAGCTGACGTCGACAGAGCACATATCTGTTCTTCTATAGTAAAAGCAAAATGTGTCATCCTCACCTGAGTTCTCAAAAGGACCCTCCAAATAATTGGGTTGTCTTCCTTGAACATGGCGTCGCTGTCCGCCTCCTTGTTGTAGGGTGGTGCTTTGTTTTCCCGGCTTTGGGCTTCTCACCCCTTTGCAATAATTAGCATAATGACCATATTTACGGAAATTACTACTCTTTCGACCGCGAGCTGGACAATTTCTGTCTTGGGCAAAGTGACCTTCTTTACCACAGTTGAAACATGTTTTGCAAGATTTTTCTCTAAATCCATGCCCTGAAGTTTCCTCCACCATATTACCGCTTGCTTCTAGCTCTCGAACTGGAGTGACCATTTGGTTTTCTTTCTCACTTGAGGCTTTCCACTTTCGAACTATACCCATGGCAGCTTCCAAAGTAATATTATTGACTTCCAGCAACTTCTTTAATTTGACCACTTGACTTCCAGCAACTTCTTTAATTTGACCACTTGATTTTCTACTTCATTTCATCATAGAAAGACTGGGTATGTGAGAGTTTGACCATTGCTCTATTCTTTATCATCCTGCAATGGTTGACGTTTAGAGGCTCAAAATATGGAATGCAAGGACGCTTCCACTGAGTGGACCAGATTTCTTGTATACATGTATACACGTGTTTTTTTGAGGAAATTCATTTGGTTCATTCAGCCACCCACTCACTCAACTAACCACCTACTAACCAATTAACCAAAGATGCAACTTTAAAAATTTTGAAAAAAATGTGAATTGTAATAGGCTGAAGAAAGTAAATCTATGGCGTGGGAAAAGCAAAAGAAAATTTTGAGAAGTGTTAATTTGCAGACTTGAGATGAAGCTTTCCAGATCTATAAAATTTAGTAGTGTCCTAAGGGTTATTTGCTTTTAATTTTCAGTGTTTTTTTATACTTTGGTTTGGTTATCTTGAAAGAACAAAAAAATTTACGATGCGGAGATTTTTAACAGTCACCCATTCAAGTACGAGCTCGCAATTGGTTGTCATTGATTGTATTTTAGGCTTCGGTAAGACTTTATATTATCAGAATCATACTATGGCTAATGCGTGGTTCGTGGCACTAGTAAAAATCGTAACATTGATACCCTTCCTCAAATACATTGAATCACTATCTTTGGAGAGATTACTCCCACGCCAATTTGAATCTTTTATTATTAATTGCATCTTGATTTTGCCTTGTTATTGAGAAATTGCACACAAAACAAACTGATAGTAATTGCCGCCAGTCCTTTACAAAAACGTGTGGCCTAAAACGAACGGGCAACGAGTAATTACCTCTGTTTTACGGCAAAACAGGCAGGAAAAAATCGTAGTACATTTTAAAAAAACTTCATAAATTTTACGTGTAAACAATAAAATCATGTATTGTAAGCTCTTCCCAAAGTACGTATTCAGCAAATATCTCTGACAAGGGGTGAAAAAATTAAGACATGAAGTGGATATCATTAAAATTTACCTTTTGGCGGACGGCACACCACACCAGCATGATAATACCAACAGTCAGAATAAACTTCTCCCCATCCTGCATGACTGCATTGTGAAACTGATGTCTCATTTCCTTCACACTGCATCCTGTTCAGCCATACGGGACCTTTTCTTCCTACAAATTCAAACCGAATTGGTGCTGATAGAGCGCCATCGTACCCAAGCTGGCGACAAACTACATCTGCATCCTGTAGGTCCCAACTGTATCCACAAATTGTTCCCCATGTACCACTATACTGCACTTCAACACGTCCAGAAGATGGTGAATCAGTGGGACTCACCAAACGAACTGTGGTTAACGTGTAAACATACAAGAGCAATTTTAAGTTGTTTTAAAGAAACGACACCTTAGTTAATACTAAAAGGACAGTTTGTGCTCCGTTCTCACCTGCGATACGGAACAAAGAAGTTACGTTTCGTGACTGCGTGACAGACTCGTACTCTAGAATCATTAGTCAAGATTGTTTGTCGTATGTATCATGCCTCGAATCATGTCTGGAATCATATCTGACTATCGAGTCATGTACCTGGAATGTGAAAACACCCAGCTTGACGACAAAGAGCGAGTAAAAGAGATTTAAGGCACATAGACATTTTTCAAGCATAAATCTCTGGTTCCAAGGTTACTTTTTATAACGACAATAAAATGACATCGACCATGGAAATTTTTTGTACGAATGAACTGGACCGGACTGTGTCGAGGAATGCAGCAGAATACAAAAGTTTTTAAAGCTAGTGGAGAGATAAGGTGTAAAGGGGAATTTTTTTTCTTCCGGGAAGGCGCTGTAACGAATCCTGAAATCTGATCGCACGGGTGGTTTTTCGAGTGTTTGCCCAACGTAACGCTGTTGTGATTTTCGTGACATCTAATTGGCTGCAAAACTAAATTATTTTCATTAGAAAAGATAGTTGAAACCAGTGTGAGAGAGAGATAGAGAAGGAAAAAAAGCATCCTCTCACGCTACTAAACAAGTATTAACCCATGTTGTATCCCTGAATTTTTCATGCGCTAATAATTTGAATAAAATACATGAAAAATTCCGTGTCGGAATCAATTGTAGCGGCAACTACAACTTAAAACACCTAAGCTAATCCTACCGCATGGCTTAGCCGGTATTTTCGTCTCCAGAAAGGCTTAAGAACGACTTCGATTCAAACCGTGAACTCTGCTCGTGGTGAACGAAATGCATAAATTATTACAACTCATTCTGAAGCAGTTTTTCTGGAACTTCATAAGGAACAGCCCTAACGGGAATTAAGATCGTAATCTGAGTCAATAAGATTACTTTCTTTAATTTGGGGCGGCCCAATTCCAAACGTAATTCAGCATCTCGAAAGACCCGAGCTTCATGTTTCTTGTGGTACTTAAGAAGTTTTGCATTGACTACATTTATGGGATACTTCTGAATGATTATAACAAACTACATTTCCTTTTACGCTCGCGATGGGTTTGCAACTTCCTAATGATCAGAAACGAAAACTTTAAAAGTCGGAGTGCAAGAAGTAAGTTGTTTCAAAATAATAGTATGCAAGATCAAAATTAAATTGACCTTTTAGATGGCGACATACCACACCAACGTCTTCATGATGCCCACAGTTGTGAAGTCCCCATCCTCCGTGATTGCACTGAGCTATCAATGTCTCGTTTCCGATGCATTTAACATCAACCAGCCATATCTGACCAGTTCCTTGTCCAAATGCTGCACCACCAGGTGCTGATAACGCTCCTTCGTATCCAAGCTGTCGACAAACCACATCAGCGTCCTGTAAGTCCCATGAGTTGTCACAGATGGTTCCCCATGTACCATTATACAGCACTTCAACACGACCAGTAGACAGTGAATTGCTGGGGTTCACCAAACGAACTGCGGGTGGAGAGAGAGAGAAGGAATTTTACTTAAAGTTCGCATGGTTCACAATTATTAGTCGCTTTAGCTTAAGGTTTAATATACTCTATTTATATTCCCTTTATGCCCTGTAAACCCCGCCGAGTATAATAAAAGGGAATTCTTCGCTTTGCTTTTCTTAGAGTATTTCTTTTGTATAAAGCGGGTAAGTTTCTAAAGAAATTGTGGTGCTACGTTTAACAGGGTAATTTAGTGTTATCAACTGAGTTGATGACGTAAATTGGTTGCTCTAAAGAGTTTAAAAGCCTAGCTTTTAAACTCTTTACGGTGCCAATTCACGTTATAAACTCAGTTGATAAAACTATATTACCTAATAATTTTGAAACTGACCATATTATTCAAATGGAAGCGAACAAATAAGGAAGCGGACACTTAAAAGTGGCGTGACCAAGGGTCACTCTTAAAGGGATCTTAGCGTTGGTTTACTGCATATAACGTCACTTTTGACGAATTCACTTTGAACGTATATTGCCTTACCTTTGGGTCGGCACACAACGCCAACGTCACTATGATGCCCACAGTTGTGGACATTCCATCCTCTGTGATAACAGTCCGATATTGCGATTTCATCTCCTACACACTGCACATCGTCAAGCCATATCTGGCCAGTTCCTTGTCCAAATGCTGCATATCTAGGCGCTGATAAAGCTCCATCGTATCCGAGCTGACGACAAACCACATTAGCATCCCGTAGGTCCCATGAATGACCACAAATGGTTCCCCAGGTACCCATGTGCAACACTTCAACACGACCAGAAGAAGTTGAATTGTTGGGACTCACCAAACGAATATCTGTTATCATAAGTGTGGACGTTTGTTAGGCAACGTGGAACTGGTAAACTATGATTTTTAATCTTGATATAAAATTGGAATTGACCCACGAGTCATATATCTTGGTAAAATAAAAGAGAGCCTCTTTATAATATTTTGTGATCATCAATGGGAATTCTCCTGACAGGAATATAAGTTAAATGGAAACCAGAAACTGAGCCCTTAAACTATGATTCTATTTTAATTTTAACACAGCTTGCATTAACGAATGGCTCTTTTAAATACGGAAGTCTCCAAGACTTTGAAAAGACCCTCTCATGCTAACACCAAAATAAAAAGGCTTGTGTTTGGTTCAAAAAATGTCCTCTCGTCGCCAAAATCCCACACTCACGTTTACAATTTGAACCAAGTTGAGCGGTCACGTCAAAAAAGTTTAATGGGTTTGGCCCGTGCAGTGTTGAGAGAGTTAGGGCTTTTGAATCATTTTTGTTATCATTTTTAATTGAAGTTTACCGCAGGCGTAAACTATTTCATCAAAGTTTCTCTTAAATACCGTCTTACAATTACAAGTTTTGTTCTTAAAGCGAAACTTGTGTTTAATGATATAACGGCCCTATTTATAGAGGTTACCAATGCATCACGATCACAGTGAATAGTGCCAGTAATCTTTATATATCTACGGTGAAATTTAATCAGATGAAATCAAAATATTCAATGAACACAATAGATATATATATTCCAAAAATATTGTCATCGTGTTATTACATGTTTAGTTAATTTATGTCCATTTCTCAAGAGCCTGACAGTGATAGAAGTTCTCTTTTTCTTTTGTTAACGCTTTATGATTTGCTTTATTTTCGGGAAAAAAGGTAATCCCTTTCAAACAAACGAGCTATCGCTCCCTCAGCGATGATATCAATCCAGGAGCCTCCACTGGCTGAATATTTACCGTCATCGAAATAGAAGGGACTCATTTTCTAGCATTATTCCGCCTTCCTCGTATTACCGACAGAAACTATAACCAAGCCTCGTTCCTTTATAATTTTCTGTGCTCATCATCTTTTGCACGCTGATTGCCTGGCAACCGATTTGTGAAGTGATAGCAATCCGTTAATGATATAATTGAGCATAGCACTTAACCAGTCTATGTACCGAGCAGCTGTTTCGAAAATTATTTTAATCATCGATGAAGGTGTTCATTTCCCCATCAAAAGTAGTTCATTCGATCTTTGCTCTTACCATGTCAGCGATTTCAGTCAGAGAGTCTCCTCGGATTCTTTGGCTCATAAGTATTTTGCAATGGTGACTCTCTGTACTTCGAAAACCTTGACTGTTCATAGCAGCAAATTATCTTAATCTTGCATTGTCTTTCAGAGCTGCCTCTTTTCTTA